GTGCTACTACTAACAATAATAATTATTATTTATTATTATTATTATTATTAATTATAACTATTTGATTAATAATAAATTGTTTTCGAATAAAATCTTACTTACTAAAATCTACCTACCTACATATGAACACGCTGTAAATTTACAACATGGACAAACACACACACCACATCAACAAACATCAATAACAACTACAACAACAACAACAATATTAATAACAAAATTATGGTAATAATTATTATTTATTTATAATTTATATTTTTTAATGATAATATAATATTATCATTATATTATTTAAACATGAGTACAATTATGGAGCCTGCAAGTCGTTAGGTAGGTGCCGTTAGGACAAATAGATGGTCAACATACATACATACATACATACATACATACATACATACATACATACATACATACATACATACATACATACATACATACATACATACATACATACATACATACATACATACATACATACATACATACATACATACATACATACATACATACATACATACATACATACATATATACATACATACATACATACATACATAGATACATACATACATACATACATACATACATACATACATACATACATACATACATACATACATACATACATTAAAAAAGGTATGCAAAGCATTAATGTTGAAGTAAAAACAGTACAAAAAACATTAGATGAGGCACAGGAAATAAAAGAGAGAGAAAAAAACATTATGATGTTTAATGTAACTGAAGGAGATAATGACAGAGATCGAGTCAAGGAAATAATCAAGAAACTGTCGAGTGATATCAAAGATTCTGATATGAAAAGAATAATAAGACTGGGTAAAAGGGTTGAATCAACAAATAGGCCAATTTTGATAGTGATGGATAACATTTCAGCTAAAGAGTTGGTGATGAAGAGTTCATACAAACTTAAGCAAATGTCTGAAGAACTTAGTAAGGTATGGATTGCCAATGATCTGACTGCTGAACAGAGGAGTGAATTGAAAAGTTTGATTGCTAATGCAAAGTCAAGAGAAGCTGCATGTACGGGAGGTTTTTTATACAGGGTCAGAGGACCTGTGGGAAAGTGGCGGATCGTGAGTTTCAAAAAGTCATAAAAGGTAAAGGTAAAAGTCATAAGAAAAACAATGGTTGTAAAATGCTTAACAATGTTAAAATAGGACAAGGGCTTTTGAATATTAGGTCAATTTTGTCGAAATATGATAAAGTGTATGAGGTAATTTGCAATGGTTTGGATATCTTAGTTTTGACTGAAACATGGCATGGGTCCAGTAATGAAATTGCTGTTAGGCGGGCAATGCCACCAGGTTATAATTTTGTGGATTTTGTCAGACCTCATTTCATGGTGGATTAATAATTTATTTTAAAAAATGTTTTAATTTTAAACTCATCAGATTACCTGTGTTAAAGACTTTTGAGGCATTAGCCATTAAATTAAAAATAAATGGAACTCATATTGTTTTATTGGCTGTTTATAGACCAGGATCGGCTTTAATTTCATCTTTATTCTTTCAGGAACTTGTTGCTGTTTTAGAGATAATATCCTTGCTTAGTAACAATGTTGTCTTAGCTGGTGATTTTAGTGTGCATGTAGAGAAACACATGAATCCTCACAGTGTGTCATTATGTGAGGTTTTTGGTAATTTTAATCTTGTTAATAGAATAAATGAACCAACGCATGAATTAGGAGGTGTGTTAGACCTGATTATCACTTCTATGTCTTTTCCAGTTTTCGATATTCGAGTTCTGCCTCCGGGAGTTTTCTCTGATCATGGTTTGGTTCAGGCATGTTTATCAATTGATCAAGTTATAAGAATGAAAAAAAAGGATGGTTCGATCTTGGAAAAACATGAATCACGATCGTTTTATTTTTTGGTTCTTGATTCTCCTTTAAATAAATTATGCCAGGGTGGAAATACTGAGGATTTATGGAATTTATTTGAAAGCGAAATGACGAAAATCACTGAAATAGTTGCACCTTATCGTATGGTTGGGGTTAGAGATGATCCGATGGCACCTTGGTTTGATTCTGAATGTAGACGGTCGAAGGCTTATTGTAGAAAAATGGAAAAACGATATAGAAAAACGTTGAAGGAAGAAGATAAAAAAAACTGGCTAATGGCCATGAAAGCAAAAAGTTTCATATACACTCAAAAGAAAATCTATATTGGAAGGAGCTCGTTAAGGATAATCAAAATAATTCAAAAAAAATTTGGAGTATTATTAATAAATTGCTGTGTAAGGAAATTGGTAGTAGCAGTTTAAAACATGCCACTGACCATACAGCTCAAAAATTTTTAACGTTTTTCAATAATAAAATAGATAAAGTTCGAGAATTGACGAAGACTGCAGATTATCCAAACTTCAATCAGTCAAAGTTGAAAATGTGTTCTCTACTTTTCCAGTATGCACTGAAGATGATGTTAAAAGAATAGTTCTAAGTTCTCCATCAAAATCATGTTTGTTGGATATTTTGCCTACGCACATTTTTCAGAAACATATAAATTTGTTTACTAGGTTTTTAACCAGTTTTATTAACCTTTGTTTCAAACAAGGCAACTTTCCAAACAGACTTAAACATGCGATTGTTACATCGCTGTTAAAAAGACCAGGCATGGACATTAATGATTTAAACAACTATAGACCAGTGTCCAATCTTTCGTTTATTTCAAAGGTGATTGAGAGAATTGTTGCCAAGGAGCTGTTGACGCACATACGCCGGAACAACTTATTGCCTGTGTTTCAGTCAGGATATAGACAACATCATTCAACGGAAACGGCTTTGTTGCAGGTTTTATCGGTTTTGTTGGAAAACATCGATGTTGGAAATTCCTCCCTGCTGGTATTTTTAGATATGAGAGCAGCTTTTGACTGCGTTGATCACGATATCCTCTTAAGACGACTGGCGATCTGTTTTGGTTTATCAGGTAGAGTGGAATTATGGTTTCGGTCTTATTTGTTACAACGAACGCAACAGGTGTTATTTATGGATGATTTATCGGCAATTCATTTGGTTTCAACTGGTGTGCCACAGGGCTCGGTGTTAGGACTAATATTATTTTTGTTATATACGGCTGAGATTTTTAATATACTGGATTTTCATGGATTTATGGGTCACGCTTTTGCAGACGATATTCAGATAACAGTAAATGGACACCCAGAAAGATTCCAATCTATAGTTGATAACTTTGTCCAGTGTTTATCGGATATTAAAGACTGGATGGCAACAAATCGATTGAGGCTAAATCGGAGCAAGACTCAACTGTTGCCAGTTGGTGCATGGCAGCAGCTTTCTAAGATGAGTATAGATTCTGTTTTGATTGACGATTTGAATATACAATTTTGATCCACAGCAACAAGTCTAGGTTGGATATTAGATTCCAGATTGACAATGGTTGAACGTATAAAATTTTTATTCAGAGTAATTACTGTTCAATTACGAAAATTAAATTTGATAAGAAGATCAATAGATAAAAAAACGGCTGAATGTTTGGTTCATGCATTCATTCACTCGAGACTCGATTACTGTAATAGTTTGTATTATGGATTGCCGGAGAAGTCAATTGCTATGATTCAGTCTATTCATAATCGTGCAGCAAAAGTCGTGGCTGGTGGGGCAAAGTTTGATCATGTAACTCCTATATTTAAAGAACTGCACTGGTTGACGATTGAAAAAAGGGTGATTTTTAAAATATCTATGATCATGTTCAGATGTTTGAATGGATGCGCACCAAAATACCTCGTTGACAAATGTTTGCCACGAGTGGTTTCAACACGAACAATTCGACTTCGGTGTGATGAATTGAATTACATGATGGTTCCACCTACCCGTTTGAAGATTGGAACAAGAAATTTTTCAGTTTGTGGACCAGCTGTGTGGAATAGCCTTCCTTTTTATTTAAGAAATCATGGATTAAATTTAATTATGTTTAAGAAATTATTGAAAACTTACCTGTTTTTGTTGTAACAAACAATTTATGTTTATGATTTATTGAATTTATTTATAGATTTTATAGATGCGGTCATTCATGAATTTATTGCATTATTTATGATGGCGCCTTTGAGATAATAATTTAATTGGCGCTGTATAAATGTCCTGATAATAATAATAATAATACATACATACATACATACATACATACATACATACATACATACATACATACATACATACATACATACATACATACATACATATATACATACAAACAAACATTCATAAATACATAACTATTGTTGCTAATAACTTGGCATTGCTAGTTAAAACTTTTTTCTGATAATTGCATGTTTTACTTTCGAGAATTTGATATTTGAAAATCTGCACTTTTTGTTCCTACTTTAGACAAGACTGGTTCACTAAACTCTATTTAATATGTATGAGGGTGACAGTAAGATATTTTAAAAGCTATAACAATTTTGTCATTCTTTCGAGTTTTTTGAAGTTGAGTTTTTTTTCCGAAACTTAATTCCCTGTCTTTACTGTGACTGCGGACTGCAAAGCACAGTGAGAAGCTGACGTATTTGGAATGTTCACAAATACCGTTTCGATTCGTTTCGTTTAGTTGAGTGTATGTGTTTGGACAGATTGCATTTCTAAAATAACAACAATAATTTTGCACCGCAGATCACCACATTTGGGTTCATTTTCTGGGATTGTTTTGGAAGAGATTTCGTGTTTAAACCTTTAAACTGATCTCATTTATGTGAATTACAACTGCATGGTTAGTAGGAAGAGTTTTTGAAATGTTAGTTTCTATTGTGCTGTTTTATACAGCCTTCAAGTTTAGCTTAGAAATCTATAAGTATAAATAATTTTCATTCAGATGGATTGTGGTTAAATTTGAAACAGAAAATTATCCCGTTCTTACCATTATTTCTAAACTAGAGCCAATAGGTGGAGACATTTCGGAGTCTTTTTTCAATTCAGCAGGTTAAAAAAATACATAAGAAGTAATTATATTTCGTCATAAAATAAAACTTTTGTT